CTACTCTCCTTTCTCTAGGTGAAGTCAGGGGAGGCATTACGAAGGCCTCTGGTTAGAAATGGCATGTGGCCCCCCGAATGCTCCCTCCTGCTTCTCCATCTTCAAATTTGCACTGTGGTCCCCAAGAGGGATGAATGGATGCTTTGAGATTTCCTTAAGCATCGCTGAAATTCCAAAGGAGTAAAAGGCATGGGGACCTTTGCCCAGTACATCAAGAATGTGGACGAATTTAGAACTGGAGCCTCGTGTAACAATTGCTAGTCAAACTCCAAGAGGGTAACCGGCCTATTAGTGCAGGCACCTGGAAACTGACATTTCTGCCATCTCTCCAAACACACACACACATACACATGTGCACACTCTCACATACACACATTCATTGGGTCCTGGAAAGATCAAGGCCAACAGCAAAGCACCCATTCCCCAAGACTCCTAATTTATATTGGGAACTAGCTGTAAAGCTCCCCCTGGCCCCCAGTCTTCCCTTGCAATGATAAAGAGCATGTCACATCACACTAAATGTGACACTTAATCAAAACCCATCTTCTTTAACAAACCCTTAACCTCCAGCACACAAGAGTCACCAAGGCCAAGGGACAAGACAGGGAGCCGACTCAGGTGGCACGTGCTTTGATTAAGATGATACAGGTTTTCTTTTATTTCACTTTCATCAGAATTGTGAAATTCCAGATCTGTCCCCTTTTTGATTTGACAACAGCACATTTCAGTAGAGGTTGACACCACAAAAAAAAAAAAAAAAAGAAGAGCGGGACTTGTTCTCTCTTCAACCAGGAGTAGGCGATAATTTCTCTGAATCTTCTTCAGTAATGATCGTCAGAGCTTCTGATCTTCCCATAAGCAAGTTTCACAGGAAACATGGTTAAACTGAAGCACAAACCTGGCTAGCATCTGGTTCCTTTCTTAAGTGGTATCTAAATACCCTTAATCTATAGGCCCTCCCCTTCTCTGCCTCCTTCCTTGAGTCTTTTTTTTTTTCCTGAGACTTAAATCCTCAAGTGAATTCTTTCGCCAGATTTCTGGGGCAGGAAACGTACTTCTCTGTCACACAGTACTTTAGAAACTTAGGGGGGCTCCTGCCACTGTCCTTTCCTATAGCATGGGCTGGTGGCTTTTCTCATGACCTATGTGGGATTTGGTTTTAAAATTATTTAATCACTAGCTAGTTCTATCTGTTCAATATACATTTATTGAATCCCAATTATGAATGATGTAGTTGTTATAAGAGAGAAAAATTTACTTCTGCTTTCAAGAAATTTTCAATCTCAAAGTAAAATGCGATAATGGTAATATATGGTAGAATGTGACGAGTATCTACAAGAATTCCAAGGCACAGGCAGTTCGTGCATCCAGTAAGTATTAAGCACCTACTGTGTGCCAGACCCTGTTCTAGGCACTGGGGTGCAGCTATGTACACAATGGACAGCATACCTGCCTGCAAGGAGCTTACATTCTGGTTAGAGCTGGGCAACATTTTCCACTTTTGTATATTCAGCTTTTAAACAACCCACACTTTCCAACTTTATACATTGACCTTCTCCACTCACGTTTTGTAGACTGAATTCGGATTTCTACGTACCCACTGACAAGTGCAACGTTTGAGCTATTGAGTGACATCACACCAGTGGAACTCCAACTCAGTATGTGCAGTGTCAATGCTATTATTATTCACTAAAAATGGGAAGAAATTTAAAAAGCGAACGAGTGTATGTTATTGGTATGACTTATAAGTGAGACATCATCTTATAAGTGAGACAACTTATAATTGAGTTATCATAAGCTTATAAGTGAGACAAAGATGGAAGCTATTAGGAAGGAAAAAAGCAAAATTGGAGAACCTATTTAAAATGTTGTAGAAATATCAAATATTGAGTCTGGCAAAGTATAATTAGGATTTTTTAAATTGGTTTTTTGTTTCTGTGAGAGCCATCTTTCTCATAATGTGTTGGCAACAGCTCAGATAGGTTTTCAGCATCAGTCTTTTCTCACTCTGGAGGGCTGGGGGCCGTGGTCAGTACTTACCTTTTACTCAGGCACTTAAAGGAAAATAGAATATCCTGCATATTTCAAGGCAGAAGATGGTTGGGGGTGGGGAGTTTTCTAGAAAAGCCTGTGTCTCAGCTAGTAAGAGAAGCTAAGAAAATAACACAGAATCTTTCCCTTCCCAAGGCCAGATTGAGGCTCAAGGTTGTAGACTGACCTAGAATGGAAGGTAGAAAGGCCAGCACCAAGACAGGAGGCAGCGTCAGGCCTGCTTTGCCTCTTCTGACTAGAGGCCTTCTCCATTACGCCCAAGGGACAGTCTTGATTCTGCCCCATGCCTCCCTCCCAAAGGGGATTGGCATAGGATCATTCCTGAAGCCAAGTCTCAGTGAATCAGTGCAGGATGACAGCCAGCCAGCATGGGTGGGGGTGGGGGTGAGGGGAGCAAAAGCAATTGGAAGTTGTAATGGCGGGAACTTTACTTGGTCTTACTCAGTGGTGTATAGTCTGTGTGTGTCCTACTTTCCCTCATGCAGGCCCATGAACTGCTCGTTCAGCAACGCGGCACACACAGGAGGAAACCACAGCCCTACAGGCAGCGAGAGCTGGGGCGAGCAGGCTGCATCTGCCCTGGGATAGAAGCTCCTTCCTCTTTCTTGCCAGGCAGAGGAGCTGAGGATGGTACTGTGCCCCCTGCTCAAAGCTGGTAGGAGTCATTCTCTATTGGCCTCTCTATCACCTCCCAGGTTTACTCAAAAGCTGACCCCGGGTATGACTGTCAGGACTAAGAACCTCAGTGCAGAATTCAGCGCCATCAATGTGGGTAAACAGGTGTGCTTGGTTCCTCTCCGTGAGTTTTTGTGATAAAATAGCCTATATTTTTAACTTTTTATTGTAAAAAAACATTTCAACAGACATAAAAGTAGCAAGAATAGTGTAAGGAATTCCACATTGTACACCTTAAATGTACACAATGTTAATATTAATTATATCTTAATTTTTAAAAATTTAATTAAAAACATAAAAATTTTAAAAAAATTTTGTTCAGCCATATGATGGACTATAATTAGTCCATTAAAAAGTAGTCATTAAAAAATTTTTAATCATCTTACTGAAGAAAAATCCCATATACCCATCACCTAGATTGAACCATTAACACCTTGCCGTATGCTATAAACTGAATGCTTGTGTCCCGCCCACAAATTCATATATTGAAATCTAATCCCCACTATGATGGTTATTTGGAGATGGGGCCTTTGGAGGGTGACGAGGTCATGAGGGTGGAGCCCTCATGAATGGGATTTGTGCCCTTATGATGGAGACCCTGGAGACCTCACCTCTTCCATCATAGGAGGTTACACTGAGAAGATAGCATTCTATGAACCAGGAAGAAGGCTCTTATCGGACACCGAATCTGCTAATGCCTGGATCTTGGACTTCCAGCCTCCAGAACTGTGAGAAACAAATGTTCGTTGTTTATAAGCCACCCTGCCTACAGTATTCTGTTACAGCAGCCCAGATGGACTAAGACACCATAGTTGCTTCATCAGCTATTTTTCCTTTTAAACATTTTAAAACAAACTCCAGACATCATATTTCACCCCTAAATATTTCGGTATACACATTTTAAAAGATGAGGACATTTTCTTATGTAGTCACAACACCATCATCACACATCAGATTAACAATTTGTAAATATTTTGTAACACTCAGGCCAAAGTCAAATTTCCCTGATTAGCCCAAAAATGTCTTCTTAGAGTTGATTTGTTTGAATCAGGATCCAAACAAGGTGCACATACTGCATTGGGTTATTATGTGCCTCCACTTGCTTTAATCTAGAGAAGCATTTTGCAGGACTTTACCAGTGGGCTGCTCTCATCCACCCATCCATCTGTCCTCGGTGGGACTCTCTCCAAGTGTGCTCCAAGGCCCCTCTAGTCCAGGCGACCAGACCAGAGTGACCAAGGTCTGAAGGGATCAGCCTTGGCATGGAACCAGAAACACAGATTTTCAAAATTCCAGGTATAAGCCCATGAGATGTGGAAAAAAAAGTACAATGCAAATTCTGGCCCTTGCTTCCAGACAAGATATAATTTCCACCTGGAGGAGGGAGAGGAGGAAGCTGAAAGAGGGAAAGAGAAGAGGGACCCCAAAATTAAAGCAGTGACAAGGGCCCTGGGCCCAGGCAAGGGGCTCCATTTGCGGCTGAAGCTGAGGAGCTGGGCAGCTGCCCTTCCCAGGGTCCTCTGGTGAGCACTGACCGGAAGGCTCCTTTTGTTTGTGTGGTGGGACGGACGCCCATCTCAGCCAGAACCTCGCAGTCAAAGGCCCACAACATGGGGAAGCTCCTTCATGAGGAGTGGGGCCCTGACTACCTGGAGGCTTTGTGCTTGGAAGGAAGCCCCTCCCAGCCCCTACCTTACCCACTCACCTGGCCAGCAGCATGTTGAGGTCGTCTACAAGGCTGTGCCAGGTGACAGATGCCCTTTCCTACATCTTCATAAAGCTGCCTGGTCACTGGCATACTCTCGTGCTCCCTCTGAGAGTTGAGCCATATACGAGGCTGGTTCCCCCCAAATTTGAAACTTTGACCAAAAGAATAGCATTTCTGACATGGGAGCAGGCAGTGCCTGAAGCCTGAGCTTTGTCCCCTAGTACCATATTCCAGCTGAAACTGTGCCCTGCACCTCTTGGATTGGAGCTAACCTCGGTGGTGAACAGAGTGGAGACGGTGTGGTGTGTGCCAATAACCAGGAGACAGCTGTGCTCCTGGCCTGGGGCAGTCCAGAGTGCTGGCTGCTTTTCTGTTTGTGTCTGTGTGAAAACTTCCTGAGGAGCACGTTTGGGGGACATTCATCTTTGATGACCCAGTTAGTGCGCTTTGGGACCTTGTCTCTTTATTGGCTTTGGTGGCCGCGGTGCTGGGCAGGCTGTGCTCTCAGGGAGACATCCCGTGGGACCTCCAGAAGTCCTCTGATGGTACCAGGATGGTGGGAACTTCGGGAAGACGCTGCTGTGCTGGCCTGCACATGTAACACGGAGATCTTGGCAGCTGGCAATCTGGTCTGTATCTGATCAATTTTATCTGCAAAGCATTCAGAAAATGTCTCCCCCAAAGAACATGTTGACCCTCTGAAGGAGAGATTGCAGTGTGGGTCGCCTGTTTGAAGACATTCTCTGTTTTGATGAGGCTTGTGCAGAGACCCAAGATAAGCCTCAGAACGCGAGCCAAGCAGGCGGGGAAGAAGTTCTCTGGTGACACTCTGCATCTTCCCCTGCCTTCCATTTTACATGTTTACCAATTGTGAAAGCAAATCCAGCTGTTGGGAGGAATTGCTTCCAGATGACATTATGGGAAAGGAAAACACACTTTATTAAAAAGCTGCAGAATCAAAAGCAGAACATGTACGTTCTGTGGGCCAGGATTTCATATGGACTATTTCCTGATATTGTGCAATAAGCCAGCTCCTGGGGTAATAATAACAGAACAAATGTTCCCCGTGCTAGAGTCAGGAGACCAGAGCTGGGACCAGACTTGGCAGAACTTGGGGAAAATCACTTGACCTCGCTGGGCCACCGTATTTTTGACTCTCTCAAGAACCGCTTCCCACCTTCACTGGGGATCCCTGTAAGAGCCTCAGAAAATGTCTCCTGTATGCTGAGTGATGTGAAAGAAACCATGAGAAAGTAAGGACATTTTTGCTTTTGAAAATGGCATGTGTTTCTCAGTCCCCTTTCAGCGCAGAAATTTGCTGTGTTGGCTTTCTGAGAGATTTTAGAAGCTCTCTAGTGAGCTGGAATTAAAGTGTCCCTTTACTAATTTGGTTTTACAGGTCACTGGATAAAACCTCCTTAGAGTGGTTTGGAAGAGGATTAGGACATTTGCCTCTCTTCCAACTTGACTTTCCAGGCAGGGTCAGTCAGCAGCTGGAGACTTCCTTGGCTCAGGGCCAGAGCTCTTTTGTAAGCTGCAACTTTGTAAGGGCCTGGTGAGCACACTGTAACGCTATTATCCAAGAAACAGAAAGTTTGCAGGGAAATGAACATACAAATGTATAAAAGCAAGGCACACATGGCCAAGTTTGCCTGCAAGAGAGAATGCCAGAAAGCCCAGCATTACAGTTCCCAAGGGCAAGGGAAATAAATAGCCAAGGCCATTGAGTTACTCCCTTAACCCCTTTTGGGGCAGAGTGGACTTCAGGAGCTAGAGAACTGCCTTATGCTCAGGAAATCTTAGACGGGCACTGTAGCCACTAGCTACATGTCCCATATGAGACAGTACAGATAAAATGAACATTCACTCACTTATTCAACAAATATTTATTAAGTGCCACAGCAGTGAAGGAAACATATGAAATATCTGCCCTTGTGGAGTTTATGTTCTAAAAGGGAAGATAAACAATAGACAATAAACATAATGAGTAACTTTCTATCAGTTGTGGTTCCAGCAGGAAACAGATGACGTACCCCACTGAGAATTGAGAGAAATTGAATAACGGGAGGATTTATCAAGACATGGGCAGACTTCAGGGGCACCTACAAGGAATGACGCAGCGCCCACAAGGTACCCACTGTGGGGAGCCACCACCCACGCCTAGGCCTGCCGGCTAAAGGAGGGGAGACCACCGGAACCCAGTGAGGGGAGCGGTGGGGAGGGGCCATGGCCTCAGCGAAAGGGACCCAACCAGGAGAGGCACACAGGTGGGGAAGGGGGCTAAGGACTCCAACCCCACTCTCCTGCCTTCTCAGAGCACTGCCTGTGCCCCCCATCGGTCAGTGCCAGGGCAGACACTGGCAGGGAGACCTCTGGGGCACAGAGCAGGGTGGAAAAGAGTGGAGCGGGAACCCAGAGGGACAGAGCATGTAGCATAATGATACAGTCTGTTAGAAGGCAATAGGTGTAGGAGGAAGAGGAGCAGGCGAGGGACTGATGGTGGGGCAGGGCAGCCAAGTGAAATGAATTGCCTGGAGCGCAGAAGCTCCTTCATTTGCTCTCCCACCACCCTTCCTTTTCCTGTTTTCTAATGATTAATTGTGCCCTGCTCCTCCAGGTCCTTCTATCACCTCTGTGCCACTTGTCCCATCCTCTCTCTCTGGGCACCCTCACAAGTTCCTTGGAGCTAAACCAGGGCAGCTCGGCTGAACCTTCGGTAAGTCTCTATGCTGTTACCTTAGGAACACGTGGGGCAATTTTTATTTTAAATTTTAAATACGTTTTAGAATAGTTTTAATTTTACAGAAAAAAAAGAGAAAATAGCACAGAGAGTTCCCATAACTTCACACCCAGCTCCCCTTATTAGCACTGTATATTTATTACAATTAATGAATCAATAATGATATATTATCAACTACAGTCCATACTGTATTCTGCTTGTCTCAGCTTTTCCATCAACTGGAGCTGTCTCCATGCCCACCCTGCCACTCCCTAAGCTGGCTGCCTGTTTTCTCATATCCCCTTCCAGGCTTTCAACAGCTCAGAAAGAAAAATCATAAACCTGAGGTGAGTTTTGATGAGAGAACCTATGGAAGCACGTGTTATAAGGCAGCCATCTGCACATTGAAGTAGTATCAGTAGCCTCCTACCCATCCCTCAACTTCTTAGCCCTCCCCGCTTGAAACCATCACTTAGAGTTCCCTTAGACCCTTCATCCAGCTGTCCCTAATGTTAACTTCTTACTTCTCACAGCACAGTTATCAAAACTGAGAAACTAACATTGACATGAGACTGTTAACTAAACTACAAACTTTATTCAGATTTCACCACTTTTCCCACTAACATCCTTTTTCTGTCCTAGAATCCCATCCAGGATACCACATTGTATTCACTTTTCGCGTCTCCTTCGTCTTCTCCAGCCTGTGACAAGTCTCTCAGGCTCTCCTGGTCTTTCATACCCTTGGCACTTTTGAAGAACATTGGTCAGGTATTTTGTAGAATGTCTCCCAGTTTGGGTTTGGGCCTGCTGTTTTCCTATGACTAGGCTGGGGCTATGAATTTTGGGGAAGAAGACACCAGAGGTGCCTTTCTCACGCCATCGAATCAGAAGGTTCATTATATGAGCATTACATATTACAGGTGATGTTAACCTTGATCACTTGGTTAAGATGGTGTCTGCCAGTTTTCACCACTATAAAGTTTGCTAATTTCCTTTTTCCATACTCTATTTGTTACCAGTAAGTCACTACATCCAGCCCACACTCAGGGGATAAGGAGCTTAGCTCCTTCTCTAGAGGAAGGAATATAACAGAATTTGTGGACATATGCTTTAAAAACCCCCACAATAATGAATTAATATTTTGGGGTAGGTACTTTGAGGTTATATAAAGATCCCGTTTCTCCTGAATGTTTCACCCACTAATCTCCCGCATTCCTCAGTGGATCTTGTCTGCAGCAATTATTACTGTGGGGCTCGAATGATGATTTTCGACTTCCCTTGTTCCTTCTACATTTATAATTTGGAATCCTTCTGTAAGGACAGTTTGTTTCTTCTACTTATTTATTTATGTCATCAACAATTTACATCAGTATGGACTCATGGATCTTTATTTTTTTTCTTTGCGTTATAATCTAACACTGTTGTTATTAATTTTGTTGCTCAAATTGTTCCAATTTGGACATTGGGAACTCTTTTAGGTTTGCTCCTATGTGCTTCTGACACACCCTCATCCTTTTCTGTTTTGCTTTGTTTTGAGCACTACTTTACTTTCTGTCAGCATACAATGCCCAAAGCTCACCCTGTATTTTCAGCCTTAGCTGCGCCAGCCCTAGAATCTGCCGTTTCTCCAGAAGGCCTCCCAGGGCATTTTAAATCTCCCTGCTGACAAGCTAGTGAGTTTATTTAGGGCCTGCTGCCCTGCCCCATCAGAATCCTTTCCTTACAGGCAACTCACAGGGCTCAAGAGTCTAACAGATCCATTGTCCCTGCCCCGGCACGTACTAGTTAAGTAGCTCAGTGCTCTCTTCCATAAAATGGGACTAACCATACTTCCTTATGGGGTTTGTGTGAGAATTCAGTGAGAGAATGAATGTGAAGCAGGTCACATGCTTGAGTATTCAATAAATATTTTTCGATGATAATGAAATACTGTTGGTGGCGGTGTTTGGTTTTTAAGGACATGCGGCTGACTGCCTGGCTATGTAACCTTAATAAGATTCTGTGCCTCAATTTCTCATCTGTAAAATGGGAAAAATAACAATAACTATGTCATAGAGTTTTTGTTGAGTTTAAATGAGTCAATACATACAAAGCACTCAGAACAGGGCGTAGCAATATAGGATTCATTAACTGTTAGCTATTATTGTTTTTGTAATTATTATTATTATTATAGACTACATCTCAGGTTCCTTTGGTGTTATCCTACTTATGGTGTAGGCCAAGAATTATGGTAGAAAAATTAAACTATCTAGTTTTGTTTATAACTATGAAATTTAAAGGTAGTAGATGGTTAACATCACACAGTTAAAATCCTTAGATTTTACAGCCAAAGTCAAATTCATTACTAGTTTGATCACTGTCATGCGCTGCTAATATTTTCTCTTCTGAGGTGTTGACAAATGGCTGAGACGGAATTACTAAATTCCCATTTGTCTTGCACTGATTCATGAGGCCCAAATGGACAGCAGCTTTGGGGAAACTCTTTGTAAATCCACCACATTTGGCCATTAAAAAATGATAACTGTGATCAGCCAATGCTGAGGGAACCGTTTTGTAGAAAGAAAAAAAAATGGAACCAACACGGTTAGTGACACAAGAATTAGGACACACGGGCAAGTGCTGACAATTTGGAGCTGTTTTCTTGGAGAAAATATCAACTAACTTATAGTTGGCAGGACATCAGTAATTAAGTTGGCAATCTATTGCTGCAGAGTGACAGGTGTGCCTCTCTCCTCTGTGCCCACGGAGTCAAGTATCCAAAGGCAACTCCTACCCTGTCTCAACTGTAGGATACAGGGTCGTGAAAACTCCTTCCCTCCCACTGAAAACCCCCGTGAGTTTTCTTGTCAAGAATGTTAGGATTTTCTTACTATTAGTGGTAAAGTGCAGCCAAAGCTACACTCAAGGAAGAGTGTGAGAGTGTGATGACACGAGGGAAGGCCCACGTGGCTCAGACCAGCCCTTATAGGATCCCCTTCCCCTTTCTGTCACTTGTCTCCAGACTCCTGGCCTCCCTCCAACCCCCTCCCCCTGCCCCCGTGGAGGCCTAAGCTATTCACTGATGAATGTTTCCCCAGCTATAGGCATTTAGGACCAACTTTCCTGATTTTGCCTTAGTCACAAACCATATGGGTTATCATTTATTTAATATTTTTCTTTTAATAAACTCACTTTTGAAAAACATGAATGCTCAAGTTAGCCTCATCCTAACCACAATATTTATGGAACCACAGGGCTTTGATGATGATGAGGCCATTTGACCTCAGCCAGTGGCTAGGCAGGGTTTCCCCTCTCTATAAGGAGAAATCCACTGTGAGCTGGCTGGGAATAGCAGCAGAATGGACAAGGGCCTATAGGAGAAACCAGGCTGTCTTCATGGAGAGATGAAAATGTTTTCTCCAAAATATTATGACACTGCCAGCAAGCCCTTCTAACATTAAGAGACACGTGTCTGTTCACTATTGACAAACATTAGGGTCCCAGAGATCCAAGAGGATGAAAGGACATGTCCAGATGAGCGATGAACAAAACCAGTGTAGTTGTGGAGGTGAAGAGCAGATAACTAACTACCAAGATCAAACTTGATGGCTGACCCTATGTGGGGGATGTAGGAAAAACAGGAGCTTATGATGATGATCCCTGGGCTTCTGGCATAGGTAACAGACATCATAACCAAGGACAGGAATAGGGTCCGTGTTATAATGGAAGTTGTGGGGATAGCCTCATCCAGGAGGAAGAGAAGGAAAGCAGGGACTAACTTTACATAACACAAGGAAGGACAGAGAGGAGCTCAGGCAGGAGACTGAGAAAGGAGTCAGAGAAATAGGAGACACACAAATTCAAGAGGGGGTAGTTTCAGAAAAGGAGCAATGGGTGAGTAGTGTCAATTGTTTCAGAAAAATACTGAAAATTAACCATTGAGGGTTTGGCCAAAGAAAAGGCTTTGGTAACTTTAATAGGAGCTTTTTCTGAGGAGAGGTGAGGGCAGAGGCCGGACCATGAATGGGAGATGTGGCTTGGGAGGGAAGGTCTACTATTGTAATGAAGGTGAGGTAAAGGCAGGAAGCTGACTTTACATGAACTTTGCCCATGAAGTGGGCAGAGAGCTTGGTTTATCTGCTGAGAGACAGGGGTGGGGTAAATCTTATGCCTATTTTACACCCTGTGCCTGTGAAACTGGGATAATCACATTTTCTCACAGCCTGCACATAGGAGAGGCTGTTAGTTCTCGCTCTCCCTCCTTTGCCTCCTTTTTCCTTTTATTCCTCACTAATCCAGCATCCCCTCCCAACAATTTGCAAATTAAAGTAATTTTTGGTCTTGACCAAATTAATCAACTGCCTGTTTGTCCTTGAGGTAATCTTAGCCAAACTGGCTGGATGGTATTTGGGTCCCTCTTGAGTAAACCCATCAGCATCTTTGCTCAAAATGCCGTCCCTTAGAAAACAAACAAACAAAAACACTACAGTTGGGTGACATGTTTGGCAAAACGAATGTAAATTGTATTGGGCAGCAGTTTGAAAACAGAATTGTCATTTATGTATAGTATGTGTGTACAAGTACACAAGGATTCTTCCACAAATTGAAGTATTCTAAGAACCTAAAAGGATGGGATCGTAAAACAATATTTTGGATTCAGCGAGCATGTCAGTTCCCGTCACCATTTCTATTCATTTGCTTTGCTTTGGAAAACGTAAGAATTATTTGCTACTCAGGTGGAGCCAGGTTTTTTTATTTTTGTTTTAGTTTTTTGATGGGTAAACTGAGGTACAATATCCTGGTAACTTATTCACATAGGTTATTACAATAGGAACAATAATAAAACCAGTACATATTATGCCCACAATAAATATTTCTGGTTATAAAGATTAAATATTATTTACCTGGTGCTTAGGCTTCCTTTAGTGATAGTAGCTGTAAAGTGTTTCCCAAACTTCTTGTCACACTTTTGAATAGTTTTTAGGGACATGGGTAGTTAGTTGCAGGCCAGAAGTTACAAACTGACAGCCCACGGAATGAGTTTTGATGGTCCTGTAAGTGTTTTTCTAAAATTTTGAATTAGCTGACATTTAGGTGATTTCATATAAAAATTCAGATTTCTGGCTTCCCTTGAAAGACTGGAGATGTAGTAACCTGGCCCTGCATGTCAACAATCATTGACATGCTTCATGGTGGCTGCCCCTTCAGCCACCATGCCCATCTTCCCTGGTTCTGCAGGCCCAGCCTTTTGCCTTTACGATACCTGTCTCTTCCGTGGTAGGCATTTGAATTGAGACCAGACCCCTGCTCTAGGCCAACTGACAGCTGCTCAAAGTGAATGGCTGATCTCATTGTCAGTCATTATTTGTGCTTATCTCCTCCTGAGATTGGGAAATTCCTGAGGGCTGAAGTAATACTTGTTTCATGTACTTGTGTACCTGGAGCCCTGTACTATACCTGGCATATAAGTACTCAATAAAAGTTTGGTTAAGAATCTATGAGGTTTAATTCTTTGCAAGCATTTGTGACTTCATGGAGGAAGGTGAAATTCCAATGACTTGCCTCAAATCCAAAAGCTTAGAAATCCAAGTATGAGATTAGTTCAACCTACCTGTGAGGAAGTGAATAAAGAATAGGCTTGGTGTTCAAGTGCATTTCTTGACAGATGCATCATTCCTGAAATGCTGATTCCTGGGAAGCTCTTTTGAGTCACAATACACATGTCAAAGGTTCTGAGGAATACTGTAGTAAAAAGCACCTTTTAATTTGGTTTAACTGAATGCTTCCTA